GGCGCGTGCACGGCCGGGCGCTGCTCGGTGCTCTACTCTACTGATCGTGCTAAGCGCCTCACAATTTATTCATAGATGTTTATTTTGATGGCAACACATATACATACAGTATAAAGTTAGGTCTGTTCTGTTGGCAAGCGTCCAAATCTTTTTGTCCCTAAATCTCGCGCTTCATGGACGATGTTAAGCAACACGTCGACAGCGACGCGCGTTTTTACTGCTGTTATACACAACTTTGATCTCAATTAAGTGCGCAGTATTATTACATGTGGATGAAGTTAAGAAAGAGCATTGTTTTTAGATTACATCCTGTAGTTTACAAATTAAACGTGATTGAATTAAAAATACTCAAAACATAGGCTATGTTACTCTAAAAATACAAATCTTTCCTCTTTATAAAATTAGCATAAAACCTTAAGGCTACTGAAGCCAGAAAAGCGGTAAACCGCTACAGATGTATAAAAAATTGATGGAGATCTGAAGGTGAGCAGTGGCACATCTTTTAAGGTTTTTTACAATAGCCACTTTTATGTGTAATAGAAAATACTACAAACTGCAATTGCCAAAGCTTATGGACAGCAGGCGCCTGTGATATTTCGCCGACTCAAGGTGGCCACTTCTTGTTTGTCACCATGTCATATAAAAAAGTAGAAATTAAACTTCAACGGACAAGTGAAAAAACAAATTCAACAAAATTTTACCTTGAGGTTGAGGTTTTACGGACAGGTTTCAAAATTGTCAGAGGACACTAACACTGCCTGTAAAACTCAATTTTTAATTTTATTTGTTACGAATCTTTTTCCTACTTAAAATTTGCGATACTTTCTGCCACTAGTTAATAGTTCCTAAACAATAGTTATAATAAAGTATAGCCTATGTTACTCACAGATAAATTACCTTTCTAATTGTGAAATAATTCTAAAATCGGCCTAGTAGTTTTTGCGTGAATCAAATACATACAAAAATACAAAACTTTTCTCTGAATAATATTAGAGGGGCTCTGGAGGTGTAGGGCTATTGAAACACTGTCTTCACATATTTAATAGGTATATTGTCGGCCTAAAACAATCACATTTCATATTAAATACAATCTCATCTCATCTCATCTTATCTCATATTTCTTATATCCTATGTTATGCGGTACGTGTCGGATGAGAAGTCCTACACAAACGACACAAACATCAGTTGTACAAATCCTTATGAAATTTAAATATATGTTTCCATTCCAATATTAAAAAAACCCATCCTACTTGTGTAAAGTGTTGCCTGCCAGTAACAAAACATACAAAAACTCCAACAGTACAGATGAATATCCTAATACTTCTAACACTCAGATATAGAACATTCTCTTAAGGAAATAGTTATTCTATCAACAACATATTCATTCAGATATGTATTGAAATTCATCGAAGATTCTGGTTTTCATAATTTCATATTGATATAGAAAATCGCATAAAAGTAAAAACATGCCAGCTATAGTCAAAAAAGGATGTCTAGCCCGGCATAGTAGGCGCTTCCATCGGTTGGTTTCTGTCAGAGTAAATATGTAAAACCTACTTGCACATAGAAAATGGTATAAAAGTAGGCTCTAGTAAGCTTGTATAGCTCAGTTTACTATTGCCCACCGGTACCAATAATTTATCTGCCTACATAGCACGAAAAGAATCTTGTGAGACATTTTTTTGTGTAGGATGGCGCTAGTGAGCCGCCGTAATTTAGTTTGATTTACACCCACCCGATCAGATATCCTTGTTGATCTCTACTTAGTTTTACATGAGCAGTAGGGAAGGGTGTTGATTGAACGAACCAACCAAATCAATAATTGAGCAACCTTAAATGTTTCATTCTCTGATACAATTTTCGTTTTATTAGTTTAAATTGCACAAAAAAAAAAATAAAGGAATCACTAAACAAATTTTCTCTTCGCCATCAGTCTTCGGGTCTTTATAGTGTGTATGATTAACTAGGTGACAAAGTTACAAATGCATAAAATAACATTAGAAAAAACCTGACAAAATAAATGTACTCTGTCCCCTATAATAATTAGTTTTTCAAGTTATTTGCAATTGATGAATAAAATCAGTAATTATCTTTTCAATTTTCGATTGTCACTTGCATAGAAGTTGTAATCATTAGATTCACAGATATAGTATGTGAACCAAAATAAAAAAAAAATCGCTTTTTACATCCATTAATATAAAGGAAAATCAATTGAGAATACGTTTGCGAGTTTTATGTTAAAAAAAAATATGTATATAGGCAAATAATGATTTCTATGGTTCATTGCGTAACAGATAATTATTACTGCAGGAGCCAAGACTCCCATGAAATGTAACTAAATTAATGTAAAACAATATGCTTTTTTTATTCATTTAATACCCTTCAATTTTCAAACAAAAAATTGATGAGAATAACGTTTTCGTGTTCACTAAGCACAGAAACATCGGAAATCACTGACACTCCGTTACATCTAAGACCACCGATAATTAAGAAGTACCTAATTCTCGTAGATAAAAAGAAATAACTTGAATATTTTAAAATGAAGCGAGCTAAAGATGTATTAGGTCTTTTTCAAGATTGTATTTTTATCATTCACTAAAAGCAAATATACTCTGTGCGCTCACCACTGCCCATCTCTAGTCTCTAGTACAAAGATGTCTACTGTTCAAGCTCTGACGCCAGTCGTCTGTAATTCCTGAATTTTGTTAAAGGATTTTCCGGGTGTTTGCTAATATTTTATTGATTTTTAGCGTTGTGTACATGCTACTTCTTTTTTGTGTTAATTCTGAGTGCTCTATTTCGGCTACAATTTGATTTATTTAGTGAGATACTGTTGGATATGTTGTATCGATTATAATTTTACGTGTGCATTAACGATATGTCCGAATAGAAAAAAGTACGTGGTCTCAAATACGTTTAGAAGATGTAATCGTGATTTTTAGTTGAATTATGTGTAAAAACATTGGAAAGAGATGTGAGTGTTTTGTGTAATGTGCCGACTGCTGGAGCTACTGGGTGTGTAGTGTGCGACTGCCGGTGGGCATCTTAAAGATGAGCAATCGCACTAACGCCAATGAAAAGCAATCCATTCCTAATTCAAGGGAACGGAATAGCCCAAATCAGACGGAGAAACGAGATAGCTCCCGTCGTTTCCCATTCGACCACATCTACGCACGTCAAGTCGATAGTGCTGAGGCAATACCAGTTCGGCCAGAAATTGCGGAGGAAGGCGCCCCGAGTGCTGCTGCAGACAATGATCTGGAGACTGCTGCTAATGATTTACCTAGTAACTTGATTACTACACCCACATACACCCCTCATTCACAAAGCGCTGAATGGAGGCCCGAAAGACAGGAAGATAATGTAGAGGCTAATTACCAACAAGCCACTGTAGAAGTCACTGGAGGCTCGACGGAAGTTAAAGAAGAAAGCACAGTCACAATATCTATCCATGATGAGGAAACGCTACAATTGCCTCCTCTGCGCCCCACTGATGAACCCATAGCTGCAACCGCCAGCTCATCGGCTGATACTGATGTGGCAACAAGTGCTGGAAATGTGGTAACTATTTGTGCTACAAACCAATCTACTAGCGAACCTGAGCAATTAGATGAGTCGATAGAGTTACCAAACCAGTTCATCACAGACGATGACAATGATTTAGATACAGACAAAGTTAAAAAACTCTCTGAAAGATTACTGGCAGTCTATGCACGTATGAAGAACTCTGATAACAGGGGCCCGCAACCAGTGCCATTGGACTTTACGACGCAATACGTCTTACCCCCAATCCCTGCGGTGGTGGGTGTGGAACAATTGTCCCAGGCTTCTGCTTTAGAACCAACTGCAGCTGTCGAGAGACCAGACAATGAAGTAGAATTGTTTAGGAGGCTCGGCTTCAATCAAGGCCCAAATGAAGTTCTCGATATTCACCATCTGTCGCATAGCTTTGTGCTGACAAACCAGTTCAGACAGCTGAGGGAGCTGCTGGTGTACCATCTGGACCTCATACAGAATCTGAACGAGACCATTACATCCACTACCAAGTTGTACCAAGACCTAAAAGAAGAAAATGATACTGTAAGTGAATTCTTTTTTATTATTTCATTGTTCACTAGCACACTAGGTACATTTTTTCTTGCATCGTAATGGAATGGGTGTACTTTTTACTAATACTAGCACTGTCTTTACAGAATTTAAAGAAATTAAATAGTAGCCTAAGTTATTATACCAGACTATGTTCTATGTCTATGTCAAATTGCAACAAGATCCATTGAGCTTTCCTGGAGATACATAGTAACAAACATCCATCCATCCATCCATCCATCCGTCCAATCTTTCACATTTGTAACATTACTAAGATAACCAGAATTGTGAAAACTTAAATGAGCTAATCTCTGTATACTAAAACTAGCTGTTTTTTTCTAATTCTTCCTTAAATCTGATTCCAGATATCATTTATTTGTGTATTATTACAGCTTAGGACTGACTAATTTTATTTAAAACTGTTGAAACTTGTTAAACACCACTTATTCTTTGCTAATAACAATATCACAGGAATTATATTAGTCATTAAGCACTACAAAACGCTGTTTGTGAATATTAATATATTCCTAATTTGCCAGTGGATTTGATATGTGGAGGTGTTAAGATGTTTGTTATAATTTGTCCAAACTGCTGAATGAATCCCAATGAAATTTGGCATAGATATTTACATCTAGGGTAGTCTGAAGGCAGTTGTGCGCGGAACCTATTTTCATAATATATTACACTTGCTTTCAGCTCAAGAACGTTATAAAACGTAAGGCGCTACCTGGCAGCCCTCAGTTTGCGTTGAGCCACGCGGGATCACGACACGCGGCAACCACCTCCACCATCACCACCACTGTCACATCTGGCGCCACTTCCACCCTTAGCTCTATGCTCGCCCCGACGAGGCCTCATAGCACTTCTGAGGTAAATTTGCCATTGGCCTGTACTCTTGAACTGACTGTACTCCTCTATACATATATAGTTGTAAAAGGCTCTCGTCGTTGTCTATTTTGTTGTATAGTTAAATTCATTGGAAATGGGAAATGATATCTGCATGTTTGTATGGCTGAAAATAGTATAATTAAACGTCTTATGTATTAATACTAGCTGTCCCATGCGACTTCATCCGCGTAAAATTATAAAAATTTCGTTTCATTGTTTACTTGTGTCAAATTATCAATTGCACATGTCAAAATGACATGACATGACATGATGACAACCTTGCTTTCTTGATGTTGGCAGCAACTTATGTTCTCTTTCCCACATTAGGGTTTTTATCCAAAATGTTTACCCCCTAAGTTTAAAAGTGTGAAAATATATAGCCTAAAGTGTGACGTAATTGTAGGATTTTTTTTTATTAATAAAAAGAATTATTCGAAAATATGCTGTAATTGCTGAGATCTTGGGCAACAAAGAAGTGTGTGTTTACGTTTTATTATAATAGTATAGAAAGGTGAACTTGTTAAGACAGATTTGATATAATTTGTCTTAAATATTGAATTTGTTTGAGTATGTGTTATTGCCATATTAACTGGTGGTAAGATTAATTTATATTTCAGACGGCGGTATCACATCGCGACACAGCTACCATGAGGAGATTGTTGGCAACCGGGCGGCCGGATGTGGCCAGATTCTCTGCTGCAGGTAATGACACATTTTATAAACTTCATACATATCTTACTAGTATTCATCCACTTTCAGATATCTTTTAAGATTTCATTGATTTTACCATAATATCAAATAGTACTGCTTATAAATTATTGTGTTACTTGTCTTTAACTTCTTAATTTGAAATGTTTGTACATGTTGTTCAGCAGCAACAGGGCAGTGTCCTAATGTTACAAAATTTAATAACCATGTTTTAATATGTTTTATTCATTTTATTAAAACCAAAAAAGTGTTTTGAAACACAAACATAGAGACTATAGTTGTGGGTAGCTAGTTTAATTAGCATTTAGTGTAATTGAATCAGCCATTGGAAGTATTTATTACAAACTTCAAATGTAAACTTTGTAATCATAACTAATGTAAACTATAACATAATGAATTCAGTTTATGTTCATAATTTACAATTTTATCTTTGCCATTCACAAGCACCAAGTATTGTTGAAAGAATAACATTCTTTTCAAAATTTAATTTTATGTTAAGGATAAAAGTTTTATCTGAATGGAAACTAAATTCACCGCAGCTACTTACCAAAGATCATTGCATTATTTCGTTTTATAGTCATATTAAGAAATACATGTCAAGGAAATGTTAATTGTCGTAATTTATATCTTCCAGTTGAGGTTCTGAAGATAATCTTATAATAACATTTGTATCATTATAAAATCATACAGATACATCCCTTACAAGAAGAGATCATGAAAAATTACTTTCAGATGCAAGTAACAATACATGTAATATATAAATTATAAAATGGCTAAACTCACGTGATTACATTTGGTGTAGCCACCGACAGTTTAATACATGTAATCATGGACAGAAATGGCTTCTTAAACATACATAGCACACATAGCCATAAATAATAATAATGAAGCTTATGTAATGTAGGAAAAAATATATAAAATAATTAGGAAAATCTCTTAACTTCTTCATAAATAATGTTCCTTTATTATTACAACATTAACAATAGTTACTTAGTAAATAAAAATACTTGTTTTTATTATGGTAGAATATTATTTCCTGTTTCACATAACTCCTTGGGTACAAAACCACTTATTGACAAATAAGGTTTTAGGTAAGAAGCTATAACAATGATATCATAAAGTTTTTTTTGTGAAAATATTGTTAATGTAAACAAGCGGGTTCAAAAATGAAAACTCTCTAATACATGTAATTACTCTCTTTGCATAAATTTATATATTTTTCAACATACACACTGTTTTAATGCAACTGGTGTTATCTCTTCAGATTCCTTTGTGAGTCTTTTTCATTTTGCATTTGCTTGTTAGGGACAAACTTTGTAAACAAGCAGTTCTCAACCTTACTTACAATAGTACATCATTTTCCATATTGTTTTAAAGCTAATATTTGTATTATATTAAACAATTTATCAAACTGAATGAAACAAGTGACATATAATTTCTGCCACTTAACCAAAAAATCATTTATATTTGTAACTAATCAGGACTTCAGCAGCTTCTTCCAGCAGCTTTTATGAAAAGATTTGTGGCGTTTACTGACAACAATTCTTATTAAGAAATATCAGAAAATACACTCAAGATTTAAGATCATCCAGTTTTAGTCACAACTAGAAAACTTAATCTAAATCTAAATCTAGGGATAAATATATATGTAAGCGTCAAAGGAGATCATTTCTTACTCACACCACGTTATTCTCGTGCCATAAATGGAATATGAAATTCATTCTTTGAAAACTGAAGACCAATCATAGTAAGTTTGAAATAAAAAAAAGTGATATATTTGTTTTGGAGTTAAAATGTTGTATCATTTGGTGAAAAACTTCAAAATGAACGTCGTCAAAACGCGTGAGTTTACGTTTTTTGACATTCAACAATTTCTGTCGGGGCCCGAGTCACGTGACAAAAGTAATGATCTCCTTTATAGTGTAATGTCTCACGAAAGTTTCAATAATTTAATGATGTTATTGCAATGTAAAGTTACCTCGCCATTAATGCAGGGTTTTTGAATTTAGTCGAAGCGATTTGAATATTAGTCTATTGGCCATACAGCAATAGATTGAATAAGGTGGCGTAGCGATGTACTCGCAAATAGCAGTCAGTGGTAGCGGAGAGATGCTTGCGGCGAGTTG